CATGGGCTTGTTCATGGAGACATTCTTTAAAAGAAGGCAAGGTTGGACAATCGTTGGTTGAGTGTTCATTTGTTTCACAGATTTGACACACAATGTTTTCAACAGATTTTAATTGACCACTCTTTTTTAATTCTAGTGCCTCGACTTTTCTAGCTAAAGATGCAAACTTGGCTTGAAGGTCATGATCTTCCCTAAGGTTGTACATACCTCCACTAGATGTATGAGGTTGAGTTTTACTCGGTGCCTCATAAGTACCCGCGGTGTCCCAATTTTGAGCATTTTCAGCTAACAAGTCTAAGTACTCCATTGCTTCATCAGGGTCTTTATCTTCAAAAGTTCCATTGCACATCAATTCAACCATTTGCCTATCTTTAGGTGTTAACCCTTCATAGAAATGTGAAACCAATCTCCATGTTTCAAAACCATGATGAGGGCAAGTACTAAGCAAGTCTCGATACCTATCCCAACATTTGTAAAATGTTTCTCCTGGTTTTTGAGTGAAAGTGGTGATTTGTCTCTTGAAAGAGTTTGTTCTATGAGATGGAAAAAACTTCTTTAAAAACTGTTGTTGCATTTCAAACTTCTTTAAAAATTGTTGTTGCATTTCATCCCAAGCACGAATGGATCCTTGTCTTAAATTTTGTAGCCATGTTTTAGCTTTATCTTTTAATGAAAAAGGGAAAAGCTTTAATCTGATGGTGTTCATGCTACAATTTAAATTATTATATGTGTTGCACACCTCCTCAAATTCCCTTAAATGCAAGTATGGATTTTCCAATTCTAAACCATGAAAAGAAGGTAAAAGTTGAATAATACCTGGTTTAAAATTAAAATGAGATGCATCAGGAGGAAAAACTATGCATGATGGTGCACTTGTTCTTGTGGGATTCATGTGGTCTCTAAGTGTTCTAGCACGGTTATTCTCATTATTCTCATTTTGAAGTGATTGATTATCTGATGGTGCATTTGTTCTTGTAGGATTCATGTGGTCTCTAAGTGTTCTAGCACGGTTATTCTCATTATTCTCATTATGAAGTGATTGATTATCTTCTTCGGCCATATTTTCTGAAAATGATGAGAATACCTCCCCGGCAACGGCGCCAAAAACTTGACACGACTAAAAGATTGATGTCTTCTCCCAAGTGCAGGAGTGTCGAAGTAATAAATAACCCGACAAGACCGGGGTCGAACCACAGGGAGGTTATTTGTACAAATTATAAATAACAATAATACAACAACAATAACAATAACAATAACAACAACAACAACAACAATAATAATAATAACAATAATAATAATAGTAATAGTAACAGTAATAATACTAATAATAATAATAATAATAGTAGTAGTAGTAGTAGTAGTAGTAGTAGTAGTAATAATAATAATAATAAAGAAAGAGAAGAAGAAGAAGATGATGATGAGAACTTGGACATGGAAAATTAATGTAAGGATTAAACAATAATAATAACAAATGTCAAGGTTAGAGGTTCCACTAATGGTATATCAAACAAGTATAGTATAAACTCTTATTATTGAATTGGAAACCACACACAAAGGAGGTTCCAATCATATTATATATTGTTAACATGATTACATTAGTCATCTTATTCAATTAATGCTAATACTTGTAAATCTTGTCAAGCATTCATGATTATAACTTATGTTAACAACAAATCAAGTTCCTTTCATAGCTTAGGTGTCGGTTATACCATACATTATGGGCTATGAAAGTGCCAAGCATTTATTGTACCAAGTGTTATACAACATAAATCAAGATTAGTCATTTAATAAGCAAAGTATTAAAGAGTGAACAAGATAACAAATATAAAACATGTTAGTATCAAACATTAAAGTCCATATTAAGTTTACATTATACTTATTCTTACACCATTAGTGTAACCTTTTCACCTTGACATAACTAACTTAGCTAGACATAATGAAAGAAAGCAAAATAGATAAACAAAATAAGAACATAAAAGTTAACTAAGTAAAGGAAAGGAAATGAAAGGCATAAACTTAATATTAATGAAAGCAAAGCATAAACATTACAAAAAATATAAAGAGAGAAAGGAAGAGCATGATCTTGATTTGGAAACCAAGATGCCTAAATGCATGGCAAATGCCTCCTTTTATAGGCCAAAATTGGGAACTATTGATTTGATGACTAATTGATAAGTGGGTGACCAACTTTTGACTTGGTGACAATCCTTATCTTCTCTTGTCTACCCAAAACGTCATTGATAACGTCAAAACTGGAGCCAGTTGCAAACATGAAAGTTGTAGGCAATTGTCTCAGCTTTCTTGTGTAAAATATTCAGCTCATTTGGACTTCTAGAACTCCAGATATGGCCAAAATACTGAACAGTGCTCGGGCTAGAAGACAGATTTGGGCTTCTTTGTTGTTGCTACAATTTGGACTTGAAAATGACCTTTTTAGATCTCGGGCTCCATATGAAAGTTGTAGGCCTATGTCTTACCTTTCCATCCATATAAATTGGACCTAAATCTGAGATATATAGCTCTAGATATGACCCAATTACCGAACAATGTTCCGGTTTGGATTGCACCGACATCTCTTTTCTAAGTTTGGCCATCTCTTTATCCTTGCAATTTAAGTTCTTCAAGTCATCAATCAATCCTTTCATTTATGTGATAGGCCTGCATTAAAAATAGACATTTACCACAAATTATAGGTATCTTATATTATTAGATACATTATTATAAAACATATTTTAGTTAAGGAGTTATTGATACTTCAAGTGCAAAAAAAGGTATCTTATATTATTAGATATATTATTATAAAACATGCTTTGGTTAAAGAGTTATTGATACTTCAAGTGCAAAATGATGATATAAAACCATAATAAAAATGCACTTTTAAGTATTAATCAATGTCCCTTCCAGCTTTCCATCCTTGTGCTTGCCTTCTTGGATCAATAGATTACTCAAAATAAATCAATTGTTATTTATTGTGTGGACATGTAAGATCATGGATTATGCTTGGGCTGATTTGAAGACTGATTTGGGGCTGAATTTAAGCATCATATAAGGATATAAATGTACCTATTATTTAGGTTAAGATTAACATTGAAACCTTGAGTGTTTGATGGTTGAAGTTTGCACACAATATAAGGGAAGTTTGGGCTTGAAATAGATCATATGATAATCTTTTCTAGAATTGAAATAGAATTGATTTTTTGGAGAAAATTTGGAGCACTTATTTGAACCAAAATTTCCTTCAAACTTTAACTAAATTTCTTTTCAATTCTTTATTTTGAATTCTGACATTAAATTTTTTGACGTAATCTGTTTAAGCTCCAAAAACCTAGCAAACCATTAAAAAAAACTTTATTACTAAAAAGCACATCAATTATTATAAAAACCCAAATAAAAACAATAAATACATATGTAAAATAAGAGATTTAATAATATTTTTGATGCACAATTAACCCCCTCACTTCAGTAGAGTTACTGCTTATTGCTGATAATGGACATATCCTCATCGAACTCGAAGTCATCTTGGATACTCGTTGGATAAAAAAAGGATCCCTATTTGTTGAAGAAAGTCTTGTCAAATGGAAACAACTTCCAAATGATGATGCTACTTGGGAAAATGCTCATGAATTGTGAGAGATTTACCAACTTGAACCTTAAGGACAAGGTTCCTTTAAATGGAAGAGGTATTGATCAGCCAAAAAGATCTCATCGGGTGCCTATAAAGAATTCGAGGTTCATAGAACTGTAAAGTTCTAAATGGAACTAGTTGTTATAACCCAATTTTGGATTCACTAAAATTTTCTAAAATGTTATTTTATTTTATTATTCATAACAAAAAAAATAAATAATAAAAAAAGTTTAAAATATATTTTCTCGAATCAACCGTATCTTTCAATCAAAACCGAGTCTACCAGGTCAATACAGGTTAAACCATGTCGATTGGGATGAAAAATGACTTTTAGGTCATTTCGGGTCAAAACCGTCATTTTCAGTCAAAACCAAGTCCACCGAGTCAATACGGGTCCCACCATATCGATTGGGATGAAAAATGAGTTTCGGGCCGTTTCGGGTCAAAACCATTATTTTCAGTCAAAACCAAGTCCACCGGGTCGATACGGATCCCACCATGTCAACCAGGATGAAAAATGAGTTTCGAGTCAAAACCATCATTTTTGGTCAAAAACCGAGTCCACCGGGTCAATATGGGTCCCACCATGTTGACGAGGATAAAAAATGAGTTTAAGGCTATTTTTGGTCAAAACTGTTATTTTTGGTCAAAAAACCCGGCCCACCGAGTTGATATCCATATAAAGATTTTTTCGATAATTAAAATTGATTTTTAGCGGATGAAAAGTTTTTTTCTAATACTGATTTGAGTTTTTAATTTTACCCCTATAAATAAATATTATTATTATATATAATAAAAAATATATATATAATTTTATCACAGTAGGCGGAGGATTTTTGCCGATGGTAGGCGGCGCAGCTGTACATTGAAAATTTTGCACAATCCATGATTTATTATTCCCTGTCAGTGGCTATAAATAGCTAATTAAACTAAGCCAGAGGAGAGGAAAAAAAAAAGAAAAGAAGAGAAATCGGAATCGAGAGATTACTATTTGTGCAACTATTTGATACTGTTAATTTTATTTTCTACTTTTTCTTCACGCGAGTAAGATCTTGATTTTTTAAAAAAACAATTTGAAAAATACCAAAAATATCTCAACCGTTAGATTTAATAGTGTTTAAATTTGGACCTTTGATTTTTTAGGATACAATAGGCTTTACCACACCGGATTAGAACCCAAATCCATCTCAGCCTTTAAAATAATCTTTCCTTCGATCTTGTTGCGCCATACCATCAGGTGTACCCAACACTCGGTACACCGCGCCACACCGAAATAAAGCTCAGCCCATCCAAACCGTCCGATCAACTTGCAGATCAAGCCAATCACAGCCGCACGATCAATTCATCCGCGATCCAATGGTTTACAGCGTTCAGACGCACCGGTGCACCATACTCGCATTCACACCGTAGCAAATCTCAGAGTCTCTCTCTCCTCTCGCCGGCGATTCTCTCTCTCTCATCGGATCTTCCATTTTCGACCGTTTTAAGCTGGAAAAACACCATAGAAAGGTGCATCGTCCCCTCTGAAGCAAAACCCCAGCCCTTTTAAGCTGGAAAAACACCACAGAAAGGTGCATTGTCCCCTCTGAAGCAAAACCCCAGCCGTTTTACGCGTTTTCACCGCCGAATCTAGTTGGAAAAAGGTCGCGACAGAATCGGTCAACTGGAGCTTCAAGTTGACGATCCTCCCTCATCAGCCATCAACGGGCGTCGAGACCACCACCATCAGAATCCTCGCCCTCAGATCTACCAGAATCAACCATCTGTTGGCCGGAAACTCGTCGGAAAATTTCATCGCCTCAATGTATGATGTGTTTCATCCAATCAAAATCAATTAAATGAAGTTTTGGCCAGGAAATTCTCTTTGCATATACCTCACCAAAAAGCCATGCATGATCTCAATGGCTCAACAATTTGATTTTTCAAACTTTTTTACAAGAGAACCCATTCTTCTTAAACGAGGTTTTAAAAGAATTGATTTTGTTTATGATTTCAATGAAATGAATCAATGATTTGTTTAGGATAATGTTCAAAGCAATTCCCTTGAAAAAGATGACCATGCAAGTCAAAAACATGTAATTGGAACAACTATCACTCAAATTTTGTCTTGGACCTACATTTTATCAGCATGAATAATGGTCGGCAGTATATTAGTTTGTCATGGACTCCTAAAACATGGTATCTTATAAATCCAAAGCATTACGCTGGATGTGGACAAAGTTTATTGGTTTTAACTGATCTTACTTGAAATGAGGGAAGACCATCTTTGATATTCCTTTTACTTTCTTTAAAATTATCCTTTGTAGTCCCAATTTGAGCCGAGTCTATTTAAAGCTTTTTTTCTTTCATAAGAACCTTAACTAAGATCACACCCTACACTAGGGGGAAAAAGAAAGAAATGATCATGGAAATCGTCTTGAAGACATGTGAGCTTATGAAATCTGACAACAAGGAATTCAACAAAAAATTCCAAATAATTGAGAGAATTCTCAACAAATATGAGAAAAAACAATTCCTAATTTGGAATATTTAGAATCATTATTGTTGTCAAGATAGCAAAAGAAAAGACGAAGATAAAATAACAGTGATTTATAGTTTTTAAACCCTTAAACACTTTTTTGAGCTTATGAAATACTCTTTCTTTTATACCCTTGAGTCATAAAATATATTATGTGCCTTTAAAGTCCTTTCTAATCAAGAAAGCAACCTGGATCAATAAACAGCATTCTCAAAATATAAGTGACTTTTCCATAAAGAGCCATGACGTAACAAATAATTGCTCATTATTATTCATGCTGTTAAAAGGAGTGTTTCTAAAATTATAAATGAATGCATGTGTTGGCTTCCAGAACTACCTGCATTTGCATTGTATTGCCCCTTGGGATTTTGTTGTGGTTGGGATGGAAACTTACCTTTCTCTTGGAAACTAAGAGCAGATGTTAATTTTGCAAGAGTATCTTTAAAATCTGTCATGTTTTGAACAAGTTGAGTATTAATTGTCTCTTGCTTTTCAATGAATGCATGCAATGTTTCCTCAAGATTTCTTCTAGAAGGTGGAGCATAAGAAGGTGCAAATCCATGAGAATTTTGGAAATTATGGTGTGCTTGAAACGGTGGTTGTGAAGTTTGTGCATTGTTGTTCTCACTCTTCCAACTAAAATTTGGGTGATTTCTCCAACCAGGGTTGTATGTTTGGGAGTATGGGTTGTGGTTGGCCCTTTGAAAACTGTTTAAAGCATGGGCTTGTTCATGGAGACATTCCTTAAAAGAAGGCAAGGTTGTGGTTGGCCCTTTGGAAACTATTTAGAGCATGGGCTTGTTCATGGAGACATTCCTTAAATAAAGGCAAGGTTGGGCAATCATTGGTTGAGTGTTCATTTGTTTCACAGATTTGACACAATGTTTTCAACAGATTTTAATTGACCACTCTTTTTCAATTCTAGTGCCTCGACTTTTCTAGCTAAAGATGCAAACTTGGCTTGAAGGTCATGATCTTCCCTAAGGTTGTACATACCTCCACTAGATGTATGAGGTTGAGTTTTACTCGGTGCCTCATATGTACCCGCGGTGTCCCAATTTTGAGCATTTTCAGCTAACAAGTCTAAGTACTTCATTGCTTCATCAGGGTCTTTATCTTCAAAAGTTCCATTGCACATCAATTCAACCATTTGCCTATCTTTAGGTGTTAACCCTTCATAGAAATATGAAACCAATTTCCATGTTTCAAAACCATGATGAGGGCAAGTACTAAGTAAGTCTCGATACCTATCCCAACATTGGTAAAATGTTTCTCTTGGTTTTTGAGTGAAAGTGGTGATTTGTCTTTTGAAAGAGTTTGTTCGATGAGATGGGAAAAAATTCTTTAAAAATTATTGTTGCATTTCATCCCAAGCACGAATGGATCCTGGTCTTAAATTTTGTAGCCAAGTTTTAACTTTATCTTTTAATGAAAAAGGAAAAGGCTTTAATCTGATGGTGTGCTTGAAACTGTGATTGTGAAGTGTGTGCATTGTCACTCTTCAAACTAAAATTTAGGTGATTTCTCCAACCAGAGTTGTATGTTTGTGAGTATGAGTTGTGGCTGGCTCTTTGGAAACTGTTTAAAGCATGGGCTTGTTCATAGAGACATTCCTTAAAAGAAGGCAAGGTTGGACAATTATTGGTTGAGTGTTCATTTGTTTCCCATATTTGACACACAATGTTTTCAACAGATTTTAATTGACCACTCTTTTTCAATTCTAGTGCCTCGACTTTTCTAGCTAAAGATGCAAACTTGGCTTGAAGGTCATGATCTTCCCTAAGGTTGTACATACCTCCACTAGATGTATGAGGTTGAGTTTTACTCGGTGCCTTAAAAGTACCCGCGGTGTCCCAATTTTGAGCATTTTCAGCTAACAACTCTAAGTACTCTATTGTTTCATCAGGATCTTTATCTTTAAAAGTTCCATTGCACATCAATTCAACCATTTACCTATCTCTAGGTGTTAACCCTTCATAGAAATGTGAAACCAATCTCCATGTTTCAAAACCATGATGAGGGCAAGCACTAAGCAAGTCTCGATACCTATCCCAACATTGGTAAAATGTTTCTCCTGGTTTTTGAGTGAAAATGGTGATTTGTCTTTTAAAAGAGTTTGTTCTCTGAGATGGGAAAAACTTCTTTAAAAATTGTTGTTGCATTTCATCCCAAGCACGAATGGATCCTGGTCTCAAATTTTGTAGCCATGTTTTAGCTTTATCTTTTAATGAAAAAGGAAAAAGCTTTAATCTAATGGTGTTCATGCTACAATTTAAATTATTATATGTGTTGCAGACCTCCTCAAATTCCCTTAAATGCAGGTATGGATTTTCCAATTCTAAGCCATGAAAAGAAGGTAAAAGTTGAATAATGCCTGGCTTAAAATTAAAACGAGATGCATCGGGAGGAAAAACTATGCATGATGGTGCACTTGTTCTTGTGGGATTCATGTGGTCTCTAAGTGTTCTAGCATGGTTATTCTCATTATTCTCGTTATGAAGTGATTGATTATCTTCTTCGGCCATATTTTTTGAAAATGATGAGGATATCCTACAAAGTCTACCACTTGATGTACGTGACCGCACTCTCATGCACGTGTAGGAATAGAATAAAAGAAAGAAGAAAATAAAAGAAGAAGAAACAAGAGAAAAGAAACAAAGTTATATACAAGAAAAGTGAAAAAAATAAAATAAAATAACTACTATAATTTATACAAGAACTTACCTCCCCGGCAACGGCGCCAAAAACTTGACACGACTAAAAGATTGATGTCTTCTCCCAAGTGTAGGAGTGTCGAAGTAATAAATAACCCGGCAAAACCGGGGTCGAACCATAGGGAGGTTAATTGTACAAATTATAATAACAATAATACAACAACAATAATAACAACAACAACAATAATAATAATAGTAATAACAATAACAATAATAACAATAACAATAATAATAATAAAAAAAAAAAAAAACAGAAGAAGAAGAAGAAGATGAGAACTTGGAGATGGAATATTAATGTAAGGATTAAACGATGATAATAACAAACGTCAAGGTTAGAGGTTCCACTAATGGTATGTCATTAGTCATCTTATTCGATTAATGCTAATACTTGTAAATCTCGTCAAGCATTCATGAAAGAAAGAAAAATAAATAAACAAAATAAGAACATAAATAAGATAAAACTTAACTAAGTAAATGAAAGGAAATGAAAGGCATAAACTTGATATTAATGAAAGCAAAGCATAAGCAATACAAAAAATACAAAGAGAGAAAGGAAGAGCATGATCTTGATCTGGAAACCAAGATGCCTAAATGGATGGCAAATGCCTCCTTTTATAGGCCAAAATTGGGAGCTATTGATTTGATGACTAATTGATGAGTGGGTAGCCAACTCTTGACTTGGTGACAATCTTTATCTTCTCTTGTCTGCCCAAAACATCATTGATAACGTCAAAATTGGAGCCACTCAAAAACATAAAAGTTGTAGGCAATTGTCTCAGCTTTCTTGTGTAACAAATTTAGCTCATTTGGACTTCTAGAACTCCAGATATGGCCAAAATACAGAACAGTGCTCGGGCTGGAGGACAGCTTCGGGCTTCTTTGTTGTTGCAATAATTTGGACTTGAAAATGGCCTTTTTAGATCTTGGGCTCCATATGAAAGTTATAGGCCTATGTCTTACCTTTCCATCCATATAAATTGGACCTAAATCTGAGATATATAGCTCCAGATATGACCCAATTACCGAACAATCTTACCTTTCCAGCCATATAAAGTAGACCTAAATATGAGATCTATAGCTCTAGATATGACTCAATTACCGAACAGTGTTCTGGTTTGGATTGCATCGACATCTCTTTTCTAATTTTAGTCATCTCTTTGCCCTTACAATTTAAGTTCCTAAAGTCATCAATCAATCTTTTCATTTATGTGATAGGCCTGCATTTAAAATGAACATAGAAGAGCATGATCTTGATCTGAAAACCAAGATGCCTAAATGCATGGCAAATGCCTCCTTTTATATGCCAAAATTGGGAACTATTGATTTGATGACTAATTCATAAGTGGGTGGCCAACTTTTGACTTGGTGACAATCCTTATCTTCTCTTGTCTACCCAAAACGTCATTGATAACGTCAAAACTGGAGCCAGTTGTAAACACGAAAGTTGTAGACAATTGTCTCAGCTTTTTTGTGTAAAAACTTCAGCTCATTTGGACTTCTAGAACTCCAGATATGGCCAAAATACCGAACAGTGCTCGGGCTGGAAGACAGATTCGGGCTTCTTTGTTGTTGCTCCAATTTGGACTTGATAATGGCCTTTTTAGATCTTGGGCTCCATATGAAAGTTGTAGGCCTATGTCTTACCTTTCCATCCATATAAATTGGACCTAAATCTGAGATCTGTAGCTCCAGATATAACCGAATAGTGTTCTAGTTTGGACTGAACTAGCATCACTTTTCCATGATTGGCTCTCTCCTTGTCTTCTTATTTTTAGAAGTTAAACTCATCAATCAATACCTTTATTTATGTGATAGACTTGCATTTAAGATGAACATTTACCATAAATTAAAGGTATTTTATAGTATTAGACATGATATTATAAAACATGCTCTAGTTAAGGAGTTATTGATACTTTAAGTGCAAAAAGATCATATAAAACATTGATTAAAATGTACTTTTAAGTAGTTTTTGCTGTCGATTTCTTAAATCGTTAGCGACACAATTTTTATTGCTGATTTGTTGAATCGGTAGCGACGTTGTTTTGGCTGTTGATTTCCTGAATCGGTAGAATGTAGTTTTCACTGCTAATTTAGAAATTGAGAGCGATATATTTTTATGAAAAGTTTGGGAAACAAATTGAATTGTCTTAAAGAGCTGGGAGGGAGGGTAAAACTAGTTTTGGAGAGACCAAAACAAGGATAAGAACACATCCAAACCAACCCCAAACACCCCCTATTTAACAGGGAGTACAAATACAAGAACGAGAGAGAAGGTGACCTTTCCTCTTCCAAAAGTTGTCTGCACCAGTTGCATGTCCAGCTACATGTTGCTCTTCCTTTCCTCCTTCCTAACAGAAACCTAAACCAAACTAGCAGAGAGTACCTTATGAACATGTGAGGGAGGGTTGAGACCTTAAGAGAAGATTGGACAACTGCCTAGAGGGAAAGGAAAAAGAGGCCGGAAAACATGAGAGGAAGAAAAAGAAGGAGAACTAGTAGGAGAGGAGAAAGAATACTGTCAAGCTTTCCCCAAACATAGTTAGATTAGAAAGGAATGGGTCATGAAACTCCCTTCCTTAAGACCTAGAACTGGAAATGAAGAAGAAAACCCTAAGACAATTGACCTAAGACCTGAGACTTGAGACTTAAGCTAGCTATGGAGGAAACTGAAATTAACTAAGAGGACAAGGAAACAGAAACAAAATGAGGCCAATTCCTAGAACATCTAACGAAGAAAAATGAACAAAATGGAAAGAATAAATCATGGTAGAGGGTTGGCCTTAACTATAGGGTTGGCCAGCATCCATATGTGTGTTCAGCTAGAATTTATTGAAATATTATATGCTGGAATTGATGGTTTCAACGTGTGTGTTCTATTGGAATTTGTTGAAAGATTATATGTTGAAATTAATGGTTTTTAATGTGTATTATACTAGAATTGATGGTTTCAATGTATGTGTTCTACTGGAACTTAGCGATAGTTTATGTGCTAAGATTATTATAGTGTGTGTGGTGTGTATTCATGCTGAAATGTGGTTGTGCACCAAATTTGTGATTCGCTGCCAAAATGTGTCGTCTGCAGCAAATCAGCATTCGTTACTGAATGGCATGTTCTGTAATGAATTTGTGTTTCATTATGGAAATTGTGTCATCTACAGTGAATTTGAGATTCGCTGTCAAAACTAAGTTGTCTGTAGTGAATTAGCATTTGCTGCTGAATTGTGTGTTTTGTATCGAAATTATAATTCACTACTGAAACTGAGTTGGTCGCAACAAATTAGCATTGACTGCAGAATGGTATGTTTTACAGCGAAATTGTGATTTGTTGCCGAAACTGTCATCTGCAATGAATTTGTGATTCGCTATTGAAACTGAGTTGTTTGTAGTGAATTAGCATTTATTGCCGAATTATGTGTTATGTAATAAAATTGTGATTTGCTGTCAAAACTGAATTAGTTGTAGGGAATTAGGATTCAATATCGAATTGTGTGCTCTATAGTAAAATTGTGATTCGCTACCAAAACTGAGTTGTCTGTAGTGAATTAGCATTCACTTCCGAATCGTGTGTTCTATAGTGAATTTGGGAGTCATTACTGAAGTTAAGTTCTCTACAGCAAATTAGCATTTATTGCCAAATTGTGTGTTCCATAGCGAAATCATGATTCGCTGCCGAAACTGCGTTGCCTGTAGCGAATTAGCATTTGGTGCCAAATTGCATGTTTTATAGGGAATTTATGATTCGTTGTCGAGGTTAAGTTTTCTACTACTAATCTTTGATTCACTACCAAAACTGAGTTGTCTGCATTGAATTAGCATTCATTATTGAGTTAGGTGTTTTGCAATGAATTTGTGATTCGTTATTGAAACTGAGTTACCTGCAGTGAATTAGTATTCGTTGCCGAATTATGTGTTCTACAACGAAATTATGATTCATTATTTGTAGTGAAGTAGCATTTGCTGCCGTAAAACATGTTGGCTGTAGCGAACCAGTTTTCACTACTAAAATTATAGCACCAGCAGTGAACCAATTTTAGTTGCCGAATTGCCCAACCTACTGCGAACCAGTTTTCGCTACCGATTTCTACAATAGGCCTCCAAGGTAGAAATGACTTAAATGCTAGTAACAATTTCATGGTATGATGGTGTAAAATGGGGAACACTTGAATGTGAACATATGAACTCTTGAAATAAGTATGGTAACAACTGTGATTCAAAGATATAAATGTACTGATTTATGACCATGACTATTTTAGGTGGTGTGGTCAGCATTGGACCATCATTAGGTAGAGCAGGTAGGTGACTTTCACCTTCCTTTTTCATATATTGAAATATGAAATACTTTATCATGAATGTTACCATATTGTGTTAAAACAGATATCAGATTGTCAAACGCTTAAATGTTAACAAATGGTTAATTAGCTTCAGCTAATAGCATTCGAGTGGATGACCGAGACAAACAATTGATTAGCCTCAGCTAATAGCATTCGAATGGATGACCGAGACAAACGATTGATTAGCCTCAGCTAATAGCATGAAGTGGATGGCATCTGAAGTGGATGGCTTATACCATCAAAGAGTTGATGTTTTATCTTAAGTGTAGGAGTGTCAAAGTAATAAATAACCCAGCAAGACCAGGGTTGAACTACAAGGAAGTTAACTATATAAAGTAATAATAATAATAAGAAGAAGAAGAAGAAGAAGAACATCATCAACAACAGCAACAACAATGATGATAATGGTGGTGGTGATGATAAGTTAAAGAGGACTTTGAGATATAAGATTAATGTGAAGATTATACAATGATAAAAACAAATGTCAAGGTTAAAAGATATACTAATAGTATTAGAGATAAGTAAAGTATAAACTCTTTATAAATTATCAACATGATCATATTAATCATCTTATTTATGTAACACCATACTTATAAATTTTATCAAGTATTCATGATGCTAACTTATGTTGACAACAAATCAAGTTCCTCTCAAAATAACGATATCAGCCGAAGACTATAAAGGTCAAGTATTTGATGTACCAAGTGTTATACAACACAAATCTAGATTAACCATTTAACAAGCAAGGTATTAAGAATTAATAAGATAAAAATGATAAGACATGTTAATAGCAAGTTGTTTAGGATACAGGCGTTGAAGTCCATATTGAGTTTATATTATACTTATCCTAACACCATTAGTAAAAACTTTTCACCTTGATATAATTAACTTAGCTAGACATTATGAAGAAGAAAAACATAAATAAACAATAGAAGAACATAAACATGATATAAGTTAACTAAGTATAGTAAAGGAAATGAAAAGCATAAACAAGAAATTAATGAAAGCAAAACTTAAGCATTACAAAAATATCAAGAGAGAGAGCAAGAACATGATCTTGATATAAAAAACAAGATGCCTAAATGAATGAAAAATGCCTCCTTTTATAGGCTAGAATTCAGAACTATTCATTTGATAATTGATAATTGATGTTGTGGCCAATTATTGATTTAGTGGACTTGGTGGACACCAGCACTTAAGCATTTTGGCTAGATGAAATGATATTGATGTAATTAGAATTTGGCAAAGTGTTCTGCATAAAAATTGTTGGAAATTATCTTTTCCTTCCACCCACCAATATTTAGAGCATGTCTAAAATACTAAGTAGTGTTGCTGGTGGACGTGGTAGATAACCCTCAAGCTCTTGTCTAGATGAAATGTCATTTATATCATTAGAATTTGAGCAGGGCTTCCACATAAAAGTTGTTAGAAATTGTCTTTTCCTTCCACCTACTACATTTCACATCATTTGGCCTTCTAAAACTCTAGTTATAGGTAAAACTCTAAATAGTGTTTGGGTTGGATTGCAGAACAATGTCTCATTTCGGTTAAAGAAAGAGGGTGGTAGTTGAAAAACAATAACTAACTAACTGCCTTTTTTTTAATAAAACCATTTGACAAAGCTTTTGTTACGAGGATGATAGAGTAAGGGAGAATTTTATTGACTCTTAAGACACATCTTAGTAAACATTATTAAAAAGGTCTATCATAATACTTTTTGAAAT